GTAACACCCCTAGACTTCCTCATATCGATGCAGATTCGCCCATCCTCAGTAATATGCCCTTCTTCCATCACACACAGGTTCATCACCTAGCAGTAAAAATCAGGGCAGATGTCCCTTAATGTAGGGCCTGTTTCCTACCGTCACCAATGTAGCGTTTGTAACCTTCCTGAAGACGAAAGATGACACAATACCCTCGAAAAATATGTATTGTAGATGTACAGAATGGCTTGGGAATGCTGGCATTGCCGAAGGGCAAGCCATCTACAGGAGGTAAAATGATGGAACTCTATGTGGCCCGTCACCAAAACTGAGGGTTAAACAAATAACGTTGTTAAATAAAACAGTTCTCAACACAAATAATATTAACGAGCGAAAATGATTCTGTTGGTCCCCATTGTCTAGTACAACACATTAGCTAAATAACCTACGACAACTTAAAGAAAATTACCCAAAAGGTAAGTTTTTTTGGGGGGTGGATAATGCAAGTGTCATGCAAATGTAGACGGGAACGCTGTAAAGGGATGGACAATCGCCATTCACTGTCCATTTGGAGTGTCAACATTTTTGACGGCCCTTCTTGGAGGTTTACCAATTTGTATTTGTTCAGTGGAAACAAGACTATTTCAAACTATCCACTATCTCGTCCCTTTCTTCTCCCTTAGTTCAAGATGACGTTACTTTGGATGTCTGGCATTGCTTGACAGGCTTCTTTCGAAGCGGAGCCTGCATTGAGGCGATGCTCCGTTTTGATTTTGGTGTTTCATAAATTGTCTCCAACGGGATAAATGGAATGCTCGCATTGCTGGACTTTAACATCACCAAAGAAACTGCAGTCGCCAGCCAAAAAGTGGATTAAGATACACCATTTGACAAGAGAACGGGAATGTTGCAGCATCGAAAGCCGCCTCTATTCAGGTGCGTTGAGTATCTCCACCTCCTCTAAGGTGGCAACTTCCAGCATAGTGTTTGTTTTCATTGTCTCCACCTCCATTTTCACTAATAAAAAGCGAATAAACGCTCTGCGTACGTTCTGCCATTGGTCTCTCAAGGGTGAACCCAAATGCGCCACCAGAAGAATTAAAGGCAAATTCAGTCAATGTGGAAGGGACTACTAAACCTTAACACAATAAACAGCACTTATGGTATTGTTAATTTTAATGGCATTCACCAACGTGATAAGCGTTCAAAATAATTTTTGTTAGTAGCATTTTGGTTTTTGAATTGATCGAAAGTTGGCATGAAAGTCGAAATATAGTTTTGCCGAATGTACCACAGGTACCCAACATATAACTCTATACAATATCAACTTCGCTGTGTAAAATTGTGTGCACCCAATGTTGACATCACGCAGGCACAACACTGATTCCTTCACCTAAGCCCGGGGTCACAGGTACGCAACCAGGGCTTTTAATGTTATGTAAAGATTACACTGGATTAGTTCAGTTTAAAGCGCTATAGCAGAAGTGAGATGTTCTTGGTCTGAAGTTTTTACATAGCTGGAGTGATCAGCTTTACGGTGTAGGAGCCAGTGGCATACTTCGTAATATTAAAACATCTGAACCGTGGTAGTCAACTTCCCCCCGCACCCCCCCGGGAATCAGCGAACGTGTCAGAGCAAGGAACACTGCTTCCCAGACCGGATACCACTGGCTTTCGGTATATAACAGCCTACTTTAAAGAAGCCACCGGCTGTTCAGGCGGCTGCAATGGTGACCGTAAAGTAGGAGTCCCGACCCATGACTTAAAAAAATAAACTGCAAATATTCCCCAACCACAAAAGCTCGCATAAGTTGCCAAACTGGAAGCACACATATGGAGTAAGCTGCTTGTACGATCGAAGTACGGTTTAACAAACTGTCAGTTTGGAAGAGTTAATCATACTAATTATCTTCCAACTGTCCCAGGCTATTGAGTAAAATAGTAAGCGGTAATTTGATATGCTATACCTCCTAAGGCACAGTGTTATAATGGTGAATAAACGCACTTTCGAATCGGTACAATTTTGACAATGTCACCCATGCATCAGAAAACTGCTGATTCACCAAGTGTAGCGCGATATATTCCAGGAATATAAAAAAAGATGCAGTAAGTTTAGGCCGTGTCTTCATACTCAAAGAGACAGGACGAAGGAATAACCAGGTGCGAGATAATTACAATAAGATTGTTCATAGAAAGCAAGCTGCAAATAAAATGGCAACGATTCAAGCCGGCAAACTGAGCTTCCGTCCTTTGAGCACTAAAAGGGAAAGTACGATTAAACTAGCTTAATATTGACACCTACCGCGAGTAACGTATAAGTAGAAGAAGTCGAGATAGAGCAGAGTCTGGATGACGCCGGCAGCAACGGCAATGTAGTCAAAGTACCCCTCAAACAAGTAACGGTAGACCCAATTAAAAATATAAAGTGCCCTGTAAGATCCGAGAGCAAACAAATAATGCGATGTAATAGTTTCAGCTTCACCCGTTTTGGAGATTAAAAAAAGTTGAGGAAGAATGGCGACAGACTCCAGGTAGATTGAGAATGTCCAAAGGATCTTACAAAGGAAATCGTTAAAAATCAGAAATACTGATTACCTCAAAAACGGAAAATTGGTGGTTTATTATAAGAGCAAGAATGGCACATGGAATAACCAGAAGCTCTAGTCGGAACGTGTCATGGTTGCTGTCGTATGTAGCACGAAACTTGAAGTACATAAAATACAGGGTGGCGTAGGAAGACACAATAAAAACGACCTTTGCAACGGAGTTATAGAGAGAGATAAATGACGTAAAAAGGTCCAAATAACGGGCACTAAAAACCACTGCAAATGCCATCTGTGACTTGCCGGATATGCCTAAAGTGATTAGAGGGTTATATCCTACGTACCTGCACAAGAACGAGTCTTCCATATTTTTAATAATAAAATTACTATGGCAACAAAGTGGAAAAAATACGCCGAGAAACCGAAAAATAGTTCATTATATTTTAACACGTCAGAACACTAACTGCAAAACAGGCTAACCGGCACAAGAGAGGCTTGTGCATACCAATTCTATTGGTTCCGACCTTAAAATACCCCTAACAGTATGAAAGTTAAAACTTCAGTTAATTATCCTAATGTGTCTATCTATTTGTTCGTTTTCAATTATTCTCAAAAAAGCATTTTTAGGTTGCAATTAGCAGCGTTGAGTTCCTTAAAAAGAGGCTTCTTCATCATCTGAACGAAAACCATATTGTAGACAAATGTAGCGTCCCGAGACTCCCTGAAGACGAAAGAAGACAAAATACTCGGACAGAATATATACATTCAGCACGGAGAAGGTGTCTGGGCTATTGGCATGGTCCAAAAGGCGAGCCCACCCAGCGAGGTACAAGGGGGCTAATTCGAAGTACAAAAGTGGCGCCTCACCAGAACCGAGGGATAAACCACTATCGTACTACATAAACTTCGGATAGAGATAAAATTATACAATGAGTGCATTCAAACAAACACGTGTTACAGCTATTCACCATACTGTGCCAGGCTTAAGTTCAACAAATGATCATCATTCAACCCGTATTCGAATTTACTCCCTTTTTGTTACGGATAAATTTACGACAAACACTTGGAAATATTTTCAAGAGAATATATTGACCAAAGGTAATACATTCATTCATTACCAAATGCATGTAATCTCTCTTTGAAACATAATATTTTTAGGTGACTACTCCTAAACGAAAGAACAAAGGACTGTGTAACACATCTTTGTTCGAACATACTTTCTAGGTAAAAATCTGCCAGTTTATGTAGCTGCAAATCGAACCTGATGTCATTAAAAATCCACGCCTGCCTAAATAAACCGGTAAAATTTCATCAAAATTGCCAATTTTTGGCATAGGTGGTAGCGTTCCACTACTGCTTATCGCTTCACTCCTTATTGCCTTAGTAAGTGGGTTCAGCCAAGCTTAATGTCCTTTAAAGTATTTCATATTCGCTCTAAATAATTTATTTGTCAACTGGATTGTTGTCACAGCTCTACTGATTTGGTATTTGTTTGAGTGCATTTAACCACACAGGTACTTCATTCCCTGCAGGCTGTGCTGGTGTCTCGCATCTCCTCTGTGCTTTACTTATACATGTCCTTTTATGCAATTACGATTTATTACAGCCTCATGAAAGGCCCAGAACACTGCACTACCACATACTTGTCGTATTTTACAAAAGATTGGCAGAAAAACTCCACATAAGATAGTACTCTTTGTGATGTTTTGGTAAAAGCTGATGGAGATCTATTGCGATTTACTATAAGCTGCTCGCATGTCTAACCCCACAACCGTGAATTTAAAAGTAATTTAATCTCAGCAGTGAGGTAATCTTAAACAATTTTGAAAATCAGGACTTAATTGGCACTTAGGTGCCCAGTGTCGTAATATCCCAGAAATTTGGAAGTTATAAGTGAATTCATGGGAAGCGTATTTTAAGTCAAAATACTTCTACCTGGAAGCTGTACTGTGAGAACTTCGTAACACATGGCGGCTACAGGAGGAGGGTATTCCATGTGGCTTATTTCAACAGGCAAAGAGAAGCGATCAGTTAAAGCCATTCCTCAACGCCATCTTTCAATTGGTCCTCTTTTCAACACAGGCTAGAAAACGCAATGTCAGTCTCATTTGAACCGCCGAATTTAATTTAAAAGATACTCCTGATGATGATGTTAGGTGCTGAAGTCTTCATAAAGCAAACCATTGCGACCAACATGAGACAAATTCAGTCAGCCTGTTTCCAAACTCCACTACTGTTCTAGTAGATAACAGATAGCCCAATACTACGAATATTAAGATAGCCAAATTCTCGAAGTTCCAGATGTCAAATTATTTTTGCAGATTCACTAGTGTCGGAGTTGGTTTAACCGTTTTAAGTCGGAGCAAATGTGGTGTTAATGTCAAATTTAACGCCAAATCCAGAACACCATACCCAAAGTTATGATATTACATTAACTAAAAGGTAGTAAGTTGGCTTTTGATTAAGCCATTTTGTGAAAATTGGGTGATTAGACCTAAAAGAGCATCAAATTTGCATATTATTTTGGGCTAGATAGATGAACTCAGGAGATGTTTTGGGCGTAGGATGAGGACTTAGTTCTACATAGAGAAAATTGGGGAAATTTAAATGAAAACTTGGAACAATTTTAGGGAGCAGGGTATACATTTCTCTCCTTTGTGTTAAAGCCACAGCCCTTTTGGTTAGGTAAAAAAGAGCCGTTTGGTTTCGCAGTGGCCGAGGAATAATGCAGGTAATTTTCACCTCCTAAAGAGGAGCTTTCCGCCACTTTGGAAGGCATATATGCCCAACAAAACCCATTCGGTACTTTGACTTTTGACAATCAGTGTTATATCCTGCCATACTTTTAACAAATAGGTATAAATACACATCCTTCACTTCTAAAAAGGATGCTGTCGAAATGGTCCACACAGGTGGGCACCACTGGCTGACCTGTAGGCGTCAGCGGGGCATTTTCCCAAATACGCATCCATAGAGTGCATTTTTCCATGGTAGTAAAAGTTAACAAACCTGGCCATCAAAATTGATTAAGCTGGTTAGCCTTCGAAATAAGGAAAAGCAAATTGCCAAATGAGATTAAGTAGTGACAATCTGTGTATTCGAGAAAATGGCCTGCGGAGATTGAAGTATTTAAGAAATTAGATACAAGGTATCAAATCACTACAAGTAATCCATCGGACCTCATTATTTTCACCTATTATCACGCCATCGTATTCAAATCATATGAAAATTAATGGAATGAAAAAGAAAATTAAATGTAGGATTCCAGCGCTTTAACAAGACTCGGTAGCTAAAGGAGTTGTTATGAGGATTTTTTAAATGAGTATTTTTTATCTTTTGGTGCTACAAATCTCAGGTCTCTGGCAAATTAATCAGGGCACCAAGTTTCAACAACCGCCCATAAAATATCACCATTATTGTAAACAAAAGCCTACTGGCAAATAATCTGGACCTATGATTGGTTCCTCAGACATTGAGCGCAACAAAACTTTCCCCCAAGGTACATTAGTGCCACCAAATCAGTTATGCAACTACTCTTGGCTGGAATACTTCTGCTGATCACGGCTTCCTCAAACAGGATCTATTTAAATGGATGCGGTGATTCCATTGTCCGAGATGTCTTTGAAAAGCTCCTCTCCCTTTACGCGTATGAACGCGGTCATGCGATTCAGGTACCTTGAAACATGAAATCACACATTTCCCATACTTATTTGTATTAAAGGTATTAGGTGACTTCTATGAACTTCCCAAAGATAAAGCTATTGAAGAAATTCAAAACCCAAGCACCTCTTCAATGATGTACATGGCTTTTGAAAACTTAGAAGTTAGTAATTCTGCAGATTTTATAACGTTCCCCCTCTTTTACGCGTAAGTTGAAATTCTTTACTGTATTTATTAACTCTACAGAGTAATGAATAAGAGATTTGCCGAACCGTTTTCAATGACCTATTTTAAGTTAACCTGTTGAATACCAGAGTCTCCGAGGAAAGTCAGTCAACATAGATTTTACTGCAACTCATAAAGTGGACTCTAAGACCTCAGTCAATCTGTTCACAATGCGAATCCGTACCATTAGTTGTTATAAACAGATAAAGCACACACGTCAAGCATTTGTGACGCGTTGCATCCGATAAAAAAGATAGGGTGTCACATACCAATGATGTCTGTATCAAACGTCTCAATATAATTATTAAAAAGAAGTTTTATTAAACACACATTACTCTTTGCATGTGATTTTAAAAAATTTCTTGTAAAAAATGTGTGAGGCAGTTATTTCCCATCCTTAATCCAATGTCACAAATATGTGGCATGCATAAAATGATCATCCCATATTCACTAATCACATCCATTTGTGTCGCAAACAGAATGACTTCAAAACATTAGAGTGGGTGTAGTATATCACTAACCTAAGGGGATGTAAATTTATTTTAATTGTCCAGTAACAGTTGAATCGGTCAATTCAGAAGCACAGGAGTTGTGTCTTATAAGAACAGTTGGACTGTTCTTCAGGTTTCCAAAAAAGAGCATCTTAATGCCCTACATATCGTCGAACGCACAAGAAATCCACTCAAAAATTCTTGAAGGGTCAGATCATAAAAATCTGGTGCGCACACAAATAAACTACGAATAGAGCACGGAGTAGACCATGGATAGGTCGCATTCAAATAAAACGAATTTTGGGTTTCCAATTATTAAGCGTCGGATTTATTCAGTCAAGAATTGGCCATCGTAGAACATAGTATGTCTTGCTTTCGATTGGTCAACTTTCCACTGCTCTTTGCCATTAAAATGGCATAAAGTGGCGACAGACTCCATTATCATGCTATTCATTCGGTAGGGAAAGCGTCCATCAGTTAAGAGCCATTCAGTGTCTCTCATAGCATCACCATTAGCTTTTCCTCGGATATACTTATTTGGCTATCAAAGTAACGTATTTGAAGCAGGTATGAGGTTTAATACTACCACCCAATGTTTCATTCATAAAAACTGAAGTATTTATATTTTTAATAAAATTATAATACACTGTCATTCCTTTGAACCGAGACTTTTCGATTCAAAATAAGCGAAATTGTATCAAGAAGTTTAAAATAATTCCTTTTGCAATACATTTTTGTGCCATACCTTCACACTTATCTCAGCGTTTAGGTAACACATAAAACAAATCGGCATTAAAATTTGTTTAAACGACTGAACCGTCCAGGTACAGTTTGATGGATTCGGTGTTTTGGCACCCCTCATTCACTAACCGTTTGAATCTGAAAACTTTTAAAATGGTTCATTGCATCTTTCTTATGGAGAGTTTCCTCTCTCAACTACTTTTATAATAACTTACGTACGAATGTGATGAGTCTAAGGGATAATAAAGGGCAAAATAACTGAGAACCGCCACAGTCAAAGTTACCGTTAAAAGTCACTGAGCTGGTGGTCTCAATTTTGATGCTTTGTCTTGTTCAAGTACCAAATCATCCTACTGTGCCTAAAGCCTTCTTTAAGTTCAAGTTTTCGTAAAATTACACGCCCCCTTACACAAAAATTTGCCAATCACTGCATGCGGTTTCTTGCATTTTGGTTAAAATCTAAATTTCCGGTCCCTGGCTAATAGAACTTATCACATTCCACTGGCTAGGTGTGCCTGCAAGCCCAGATAAAGCAATCATATTCAAATATTCCAAGAGGTATCACTAACTTCCCTTTTCTCGAACTCCCGGTAGACATTCCACATTTAGTAGCTGTGCTGATTTCCCCTTGACTGATTCACACCAAGTGGAAAATCCTTAAATGTGCTACTAATTATTAATAAGGCCAAGGCTAATCAAAAGACCGTAATTACGCGTTGGTAAAAAAGGATTACACCGGATAGGATCTCGGTAGTGGCCGTGCTTATTCACAAACACGCGGCTGGGTACTGCACTACCACGGTAGCATCCATTGCCATCAGAAGTGACCATTTGACTTAAACTTCCCAATCCTTCTACCTCACTCTTGCTGCGTGGATAAAGTATTTAATACTGGTAAGGCAAATTTATTTAAAAGTGGTAGTGCTTTAATTTTCACTTTCAATCGCTGCGATGCGGATGGAAGATGACTGCGCAGTACCCTCAAGTCTTCATCAAAGTCCAAACAAGCAAATTTATCGAAGGAGCTGGAAAACAACTGCTACAGCCCGAGCGCTATGCTGCAGAGCCGAAGCGCCCGGGTAGTTAAACACACAGTTAAACAAAATATCAAATTCCTGCAGCAATATTGGGCTCTTGGCGTTAAATCACCTTATTTTTACTTTTATATTAAAGAAAGAGTAGTAAATTGGAGCAATACGAAACGGTGGAAAATTTAAAAGAGGTTACTTTATTTTTTGTCAAGAATGAAAGAAATTAAGTCACATATAATGCTGCAAGACTTCCGTGAGGACGGAGAAGACATAATACTCGGGTTGAATGCGTATGTCGACATACAGTAAGGTCAGGGGCTACTTTTATGGCCAGGAGGCCAACCCACCTGGAGAAGGTACAATGGCTGGACATCTAAGTGTTTCCTCTACGGAAAACCGAGAGTTGAGCAAATGCAAGTATATTGCACTACAAACCCGTAAAGCGACTCTTAAGCAATCACAACATGCTCTTGCTGTCATTTAAGTGCTGTTTAATCCTTTTGGACAGGAAGATAAGAATATCAGCACGATATTTCTAAGCCCCATCCATTTTCTTTCTTATCATCATTAGACCTTACACAGCCGTGGTCAACATTCCCAATCTCTATAGTGAGCCTGGAAACACCACCAGTATACGTTTAACATATCGACTTCTAAAGGAAATTTTTCAGGGCAATGTTACTATTTGGAATCATTCAAAAATACAAGCTCTTAATCCAGGTAAGACGTTCTTTCAGAAATTACTCTGCTTCCTGTAGACTTAAAACTACCAGAAAAGCGTATAATTTCCATTCCACCAGATCCTAATATTACAAGTTCTTTAATTGCAAATGATAAGAAATCCTGTTTTCAAAATGAGATGTCCTGTCTTCATCCGCCGTTGTCAGGAGTAACCGCTCTCTGTTACGCTATCCCCTATTCAATCGGTTTCTCGTCAATCACTCAAGCTGAACTCTATAAACTTCTCCAAGTTGAATTGGTCAAGTCGGAAACCAAACTCACTCCAACGTTGCCTGCTGTTGAAGCCTTTGTTTACGGTTCATCCGATTCCGTTAGCTACCCTCTAGTCAAAAAGTTCTCAATAACCATTAAGAAGAGGTGTTCTAATGCTGGTAGACTAACCTCAAATGTTTGCAAAACAGCGGCAGAATTAAAGCGCTTTCTCAAATGGATCTTGACATCTTTCAGTGCTAAAGAGGTTCTAAGCAATGCTTCATGTGTCAGGGTGGATCCAGCAAAGGGAAATGACATGCTTAAATCCAGGTTAAGTAGCATGGAATGTCGTCAAAATCAAGTCTTTATCTCAGTGGATAAATATGCGCAACAGGACACAGAAACGCCCGACGATAAAGACGATGGAGATAGTCTTGATATCATCACAATCTTATTTGTAACTGGAAGCTGCCTCGGAATTCTCCTTCTAGTTTTTGGTGTCATGTTAATGAGAAGATTTTTAAATTGGTTAGCTGAAATTCGCAATGACGTTTGGATGATCAAGGAGTTGGACATAATTCCACCCGAGTCGGAGCGTCTAGAGTCCTTTACGACACTCTTATCTCAAGTATCATCTCGACGAAGCTACAGTCAGGTTGACCTCAGTAGAAGCTGTCAATGCTGTCCCATTCTCGCTCCTAATATCGATGCTGCCAACGGACAAACCATTTCCGGCATCTACAAGTCGATTAGTGTGAGCCTATATGCCACCCGTATTTCTGCATCAACCGTTTTCGACTATTCCACACGAAAAACACTCATTGAATTGCGTAAAATCGCTCACAACAATATTCTTCGCTTTTATGGCCTCGCTAACCTTGGTGACAAAGACATTAGTGTGTTTACCACCGAGAGTGAAAACGAGGACTGGGGACTCGCTCCAGAAGATGACTTGCCCGAAAACCGTGACTTTGCACTGGGGAAGACGGATATTCCCAACTACTACGTGGTAAGGGAACAATGCACAGGGGAGAGCATATTTTTCTTCATGCACTGTTCGGCCATGAATTTTCCCAGAGAAGCGAAGATACCGGTTACGATTCAGCTTGTTGACGCTGTTGAATTCCTACATGGTCATGGAATCGTACACGGCAAGTTAAATTCCCATTGTTGCTACTTTGATCACAATTTTAATATTAAGGTGAGTGATTGGGAGCGTTTAGATATGCTGCAAAAGTGTCTCCGTCTACACAGCACAGATGTGTACCTTCCTTCAAGATTTATTGCATTTCTACAAAAAAATAAGACATTGCGATCGACTTCTGACAGAAAAAATCGGACTCTGCAATGTTCCAACATGAATGGCGTAATGCGACTGCGATGGAGACCACCAGAATGTCTATGTTTTGAGCTTCCCTTGGTAAAGAGATTGTTCTCTCATCCACAAAATCTCACTAATGACGGGAATGAGCAAAATGATGTTGCAGAAGAAAGGGAAGAGGATGGACAGCTAAATAACTCTGAGGTACCCCTTTCACACTTCCAGGATCCTACTGTCGACATTTACAGTCTTGGAGTGATTATCAACGAAGTTTGGTCCAGAGCTATCCCCTATTCAGACATAGATCAAGACTACGAGGATGAACTTAAGCTTCTAGATGCTGTTGCTTGCAGTACTTTGAAGCTAAAGATATCTTCAACCATGCCAGAAATCGTAAGCAATTACATTGCTGTTATCTGCATTTAAATAGCGCGTTAATTTCTGGATTCTGCTTTAATTTTGCAGCTAGGAAGCATTGTCAGTGAATGCACGAACTTAGTACCTGCGAATCGTCCAAATATTGGTTCAGTGAAGAAGCAAGTCACTGAACTAAAGAGCGCAACACAAACAGGACTCGATATCTACCTGGATATTATGGACAAGTGAGTGAACAACACCAAACGCTTCTAAAGACTAAAAATTACTTACTGCTTTTTAACAGAAAGATGAAGGGTGTAGAACAAAAGGTGGCAAATTTGGATGAGGAGGAGAGGTGTTTAGATGCAGTTCAAGAGGCAATTTTTCGAGAATTTCTACCCAAACCCCTGGCTGATAGGACTCTGCTTCCAATCTCACACGGAGTGGACGAAAAGGCAGCTCTTGAGCACTGTCTATCACCATCACGATACTCTCAGGTCACTGTTTGTGCCCTTCGTCTGCTCAACTTCCATGACTCTACGCAGACATTACCTCTAGATGAAGTAATTGTCCGAACTTAATATGCACACTTCTTAGGTGTTTTTAGCTCTTAATCGGTTGAATAGATTGATGACAACCATCGTCGAGGAGTGGAAGGTCTTACGTATCTCCTCATTCGGTAAGATCAGTGTTAGTTTACAAATAAACTAACAAGTACAACGTAACCTTTCAACTGCGATTGTTGATAAAACTGACTTAGGAACAGTGATGATGATAGCAGGCGACCCACAAGGCGAAGACAATGATGCTGCAAAACAGGCCATTTCCGTAGCGGATTGTGCTCTTGACCTACATAACTGTCTTCGATGTTACGGGAAGGTACCACGGACAGAAGTTGATCCAGAATTCGCTATCGCTTTGGACACCGGAGCAGTTGCCATGGTTTTAAGGCCCGGCGACGCTCCAGCGTAAGCTCAATTCTGTCGGCATGACTAAGTAAACTGAAGAATTGCTTATCATGATCCTCGCACCCAGACTATTTTGATGGTAATTCAGGATCCACAAAGTTAAGCTTTTACCAACTAAAAGAGACAAAACTGAAAAGACACATTACAGCAGCAATGTCGAATTGGTCGGAAAATACGTAGTACGACATTTGAAGTTCCTCATTTAGAGGGAGAAACGGAGAATAATTTTATCATGCCAACCTTTTGATATACTGTTTTAAAATAAAATGGGATCAGTGAGGAAAAAAAGTGAGCTTCTATAAGGCTTAATGTACACATTTTTTGTAAAAACCCACAAAACTTATCAATCAAACAGACTTGTATATGATATTATGGTCTAGCTTAAATCAGTTGCATTGAAAATCACATTGTTTATTTGTTTTGAATTATGAGATTTAAAAGCCTGCCTTACGAAGTTGTTTGGTTTTTAAACCACAGGCTTTGCGTGTTCGGGAAGGTCATGCAAAATGCGCGAGACATTTTGAAATTCGCAGCACCGAAATACGTCTGTGTCAGCGGGGCGACTAAAGAGCTTTTGGAGACATCGGGCCGATTCAAGATGGAACTGATCTCTTCAGATGTAGATTTCGGAGTATTTCTATATCAAAGTCGATTTTTGAACTGAATCCTTACTGATATCATTTTTCAAATTTCTAGACCGAATTTGGTGAAATCTACAGTCTAGAAAAACAAAAGAAGGTAAGAAGTTTGAGTTTTATTAAGTTTTCTAAGAGCAATAACAAATACCTGGTTTTTGTCTTACTTTTTAGTAAAAATTAAAAGGAGCCAATCCAGGCGTTTGCTTCATTCGGTAGATTGGGATTCGAATACATGAAAAAAATTTGAAATTACATTGCAATCCTTAATAAATCTAGAAAAACAATGAGTGCACTTTCATCAGAAATTACCTAATATCGTGCAAGGGATGATCGCAACTAACTGAACGTCGAACGAGGTTGCGTATTCTGGATTAGAATGCCTACCATCGACACGTAGTCTTTTTTAGTTGTTTTAGGAATGCAACAGATTGCCAAAAAAGTACGTATGGTTATCTCTATAGCTTGCAATATGCCAGTACTCAAGATCGCTTCTTGTGCGACTCTTTAGTTGCTTTGTGGCCCCGTACCATTAAAGTGGTTGTCAGGATCCGAGACCGCAGGAGCTTCTCCGTATGCTGACGCAGTGATTGAAAAGAGTGTGATAGCAGAAGGTATCACTTGTAAATCGTTTAAACGACTGGGCTTGGATGACAAATCACTCAGAAATGATCTACGGAAAGATCTTTCACAGAAGGCTATACCTTACATGCAGTTTGCATTTCCAACACAATTATTCACTAAGAATTTTTTGATAAAGGTCGAACAGTTGACTAATATCTATGCATATGATACGACAGAGATTAAAGGTGTGTAAGGAGAAACTCTTAATGCCGAATATGAGCAGTAGACACTCTGGGAAGAAAACCATTCTAACAGGACGACACAACGCAAGGCTTTTCTTCACACCGCAAGACTGACAGGTGAAAAGATTTGCAATTTAGAACTTGGGGAAGGCTAGAGCTATTGGCCATTCCATCCTCATCCTCTCCATTACCCTGGTGATAAATCGTCTGATGATATTCTACCTCATTTTCTTGGCTTTTTCAGTAAAAAATCAAATGTTTAATAGACAAGACGATTGTAAAATGCTAGCAAGGAAGGCGCAGCAGTTGAAATAATTTCACCACGCGCACATAAATGTAACGAATCCAGTCTCTGCTGAGATAGTAATAAGTCAAATTTGGGTAGAAGGGCACGCAATTTTCTAATAAACAGAAAGACGCCAAGGCTACTAACACGTCCCGACAGCCGTTGACCAGGGCCTAAAATGTTTTGTTGTTAAACACAATAAAAATCCGGTACATTCATAAATCCATACATTGACAGAATTCGCAGAACCAAGCTAAAATATCCCAATCAGCCACTTGTAAACTAAAGTTATTTAAGAAATTAATTTAACTATCCACTAACATCAAAGTGTTTCTCTTAAAATAGTATTTCCTACCCCTTCTGTATTAATAAATTTAATGGAAACGCTGAAATAAAGGATATGGGGATTTTTCACTACTAATAAGCACCGCATAAAGTACATGAATTCCATTTTAGGGGAATAAATAGGTATTTCATGCTACTTTATTAAATTAAAAGTAGCTGGACTAACGAAATTTCTTTTTGCAGCATTTGCTTTGATTTAGGATGGCTTAATAAACCAAAGAACTGTGAACTGCAAACTTTACGCCACAACTCCAGCTAGATGTACGCACCGGGTAGGTCTGTTAGTACAAAGAGCACAGTATTCTGTCCTGAATTGGAGTCTGTGTCAGTGTGATCTGGATCCCCAGCAAGCTCCCAACCCGACTGCCAACAAAGGCCTCAGAGCAAGTTTTTATCGCCAACGGCGTGCGGCGACTAGCCAGCTAGTGATGAATCCGAAGATGTTTGACGGCCTCAGTCAAGCGTATTTGTTGTAGCTAATTCATTTTCAACTTGGAATGGTTAATAACGCGATTTAAGTGAATTTTTATACGTGATCGCGGTCGGTCAGGCGAAAGTGAGCAGCAGCGCACTGTCCGATATGTTTGAATATCAGCCATCGGAAGGAGAAATCTTAGAAGAATGTTTTTTTTCTGGGCTTGCCAGCATATTCATCAAATTTAATCGCCCATTTGCATTCGATTACCATAAGGCAACCAAATGGGCATTCTACAACAAAAGCAAACAACAGAAATGTTTTTAAATTTCCTTTTTAGTATAGTGGTCACCTTATAAATAAGCCATTATTTTTCACAGCGAGAAAGAGGTTGGCTGCAAATTTTTTACTTTACGCAAAGGACTGCCTTAAAAAAACACCGACCTGTTACCATTTTAGGTTTTATAGCACTTGTTTTGCCAAACCATTTAGTTTAGTAGAAATTCGCTTGTCAGCGGCAAATGTTAAGAAAGTGTGAACAGGCAATCAAGGTCAGTAATGAATAGGTGGAGCCTAGCAACAAAGGTTTTTAGTAAGAAAACCTCAGTAAAACATAGTGGACAGTTCGCTCAAAAATTTCTTAGGCAGACAAGGTGGTGCTCGCCTTAAAAGTATAAAGCAGAGAGTGATTAGAGTGGCCGACGTTTACCGGCTATATTTTTGTTCGCTTAAGGAAATTGGCAGAATAAAAGCCACTCTTCATCATAACTCAGTCATCATGCAATTCATAACAGAGCCATTTTTGTCGTGAAAGATGTGAACAGTAATTGAGTAGTCACCGGAATCTACAGTCACCTCTTAATTCATTCATCATATACATCTCCAAAAGTTTCTGCTACTCTCTCCATTGATGTGGGTGTGGACGAAGTGTTTCAGCATCCCACACAATACGAGCAACTGGTATTTCTTCTTGACACCCAATATTCTAGCCACTAAAAGTAGTCGCAAAACAAAATTCGCCCCGGTTATCAAGCATACAGGGTAAAATAAAAATGGTGCATCCACCGAGGGCTATTTATCAGTACAGTCGATCTGCAAAAGATGGAAATATATCTAGGTGGTAGTTTCTGCTACGGTACCTTCATTCAATAAATGCCTCACGAGCAAATTCTGCCCCTTCAACTTCAGACTCAGCCTCAGCCTCGAAATCGGGTTGCACTAGTTTCGTGAATAAGACAGGCTCGAGTCGCATCTATTCATTTCACTAGACATTGCATGACATGAGGACGAAAACGACAGGAAGAGAGACCAGCGTGCAGTAAAGATTGAGGGTGACAATGAAAAA